AGATGAAGTCCTTTGAATGCCACATCATGAGGAGACAGCAAAGCCTAGAGAAGGGAATGATGCTGGGGAAAGTGGAAGGCAAAAGGAAGAGGGGCCGACCAAGGGCAAGATGGATGGATGGCATCCTTGAAGTGACTGGACTGACCTTGAAGGAGCTGGGGGTGGTGACGGCCGACAGGGAGCTCTGGCGTGGGCTGGTCCATGAGGTCATGAAGAGTCGGAGACGACTGAACGAATGAACAACAACAACAACAATTTCTTTATTAAATGTCTCTGGTGGGTGGGATGGAGAAGGGGAGATTGATATGAATTTCCTACGATTTCTATAGACTTTCCTTCTATGTATTTCCTTCACAAGTCTGACCCAGCCATGAACTCCTTTGCCCTTTGGGAGGCTGATCAGGAATCACAAGAACACCTATTTACTTGGAACTCACATCTGAACAATGGGAGCTGGAGTTACTATTTGACTTTAGGAGGGGGTCCTCAGACTGTGATTTCCTCCTCTGCCAAGTTTCCCTTCACAACAAGCATCCTTCCCAGACTCACCTTTTACCTGATCTGATCCTGGAAGGGGAAGTCCTGAATCAAATGATGATCCCTAATCACTGATCCATCACAAGAACACAAAAACTAGTTTCCTTGGCTGGCTGATCCCTCGGGCACAGGAAATCCAGGACAGTGGGATGTCACCATCCTCTCTGGACACCTCGTCCCTCTTCCGTCCCGCCTCCCTCTCCCTGATTGGCTAAGGAGCCGAAGAGGGAGGGAGTTTTGAAACTTTCAAACCTGTATTTTGCTATAAATATGCCTCTGATCAATATATTGGCATGCTTGCATGTGAATGATCACTGCAATTGCATCCACTTCAGCTGAATCGCTCATTAAACCTCGATGCCTCTTCTTCTTCGCCTTGGCAAGAGTCTCATTTCAATTATTAATATGAATAAAATTGCTGGAATCAGGCTTCCCTGATGGCTCGCCAAGGTCATGGGCCCTCTTTGGTGCGGTCCTAGGGGTCTCTCTTACTGGGGAGACCCTCCTAAAGTCCGTATTGACTTCAACCATAGGTTACTGTTCCGAGTTTTAAACCGTTGGGTTGCTGTACGTTTTTCAGGCTGTCTGGCCGTGTTCCAGAAGCAATCAGTCCGAAAAACAGGCCTTCAACCTGGAGGTTCTCTCATCAAAGTTTCTCACACCAGGCCTTCTCACAGACTAAGGCCTATCTCACACAAAGGCTTCTCTCACAGAGTAAGTTTCATTATAATGTTTGATTTTATTGTTGCTGATGTTTTTATATTGTATATTGTAATTGTGTCCTTGGTGGCATTGAATTATTTCCTTGTAAACCGCCTCAAGTCGCCGAGGGAGGCGGTATAGAAATGTACTAAATAAATCAATGTACTAAATAAATAAACAAATAAGGCCTACCTCACGCTGTGAGGCCTTCTCTCACAGACTCAGACCTTTCTCTCACCGAAGCTTCTTACACCAGACCTTCTCACACTGAGACCTACTAACACTGAGGCATTTCTCCCACTGAGGCCTTCTTCACACTGAGGTTTACCTTACACTGAGGCCTCTCTTATACTGAGGCCTTCTCACACTGTGGCCTCTCTCACACTGAAGCCTCTTCATACTGAGGGCAACTAACACTGAGGCATTCTAATCTACAGACACACCTGCTCATTTTGAACTGTCGCTTTTGCCGAGTCATTGCAGTCCTTGACTCACATTTTTGTAATTAAAAATACCTAGTTAATTTGTAATATTTCTGACATTATTCTATAGATTAAACCTGTGATGGGCAACCTTTTGAGCTTGGTGTGTCAAAAATTTTGCAAAAACCACAGCATAACTTGGGTGGGGTGTCAACTTCGAGGGAAAAAACCCATAATTTTGCAATATTTATAGTTTAATAAGAAAAATCATAGAATCATAGAATCAAAGAGTGGGAAGAGACCTCCTGGGCCATCATCCAGTCCAACCCCATTCTGCCAAGAAGCAGGAATATTGCATTCAAAGCACCCCTGACAGATGGCCACCCAGCCTCTGCTTAAAGGCTTCCAAAGAAGGAGCCTCCACCACACTCCCTCCGGGGCAGAGAGTTCCACTGCTGAACGGATCTCACAGTCAGGAAGTTCTTCCTCATGTTCAGGTGGAATCTCCTCCCTTGTAGTTTGAAGCCATTGTTCCATTGCGTCCTAGTCTCCAAGGAAGCAGAAAACAAGCTTGCTCCCTCCTCCTCCCTGTGGCTTCCTCTCACATATTTATACATGGCTATCATATCTCCTCTCAGCCTTCTCTTCTTCAGGCTAAACATGCCCAGCTCCTTAAGCCGCTCCTCATAGGGCTTGTTCTCCAGACCTTTTATCATTTTAGTCGCTCTCCTCTGGACACAATCCAGCTTAGAGTCAATATCTCTCTTGAATTGTGGTGCCCAGAACTGGACACAATATTCCAGATGTGGTCTAACCAAAACAGAATAGAGGGGTAACATTACTTCCCTAGATCTAATGTGTATTCCATGCTGAGTTATGGAGTGAACAATGCTCAAACATGCAGATGTTAAATGTGTAGAGCCTTTTACAAATTTAAGGATGGAATTAGAGTGGCTCTTATAAGGTGTACTTCTCTGTATGCGGCCACATGTGGCCGCGTGTCATCAAAAATAGCCACACGTGTCAGTACTGACACACGTGTCATAGGTTCACCATCACAGGATTAAACTTGTATTTTAATCCCCTCGTTTCTCGTTCCTAATTGGAAATAGATACTAGAGATTTGTGGGCACTGAGTCTCAACACATCCTTTCTCCAACTAGACACCCCCAGCTCCCTCATCTGTTCCTCAGAGGCCTTGCCTTCCAGGCCGTTTGGGTTGCCCTTCTCTGACCATGATTGCCTTTCCTTTCCTTGCAGACCCAGCCTCTTCCGGTGCTTTCGGACCATGGCACTGCTTTCTCAAGGCCTGGAGCCGGTGGGCTTTCTGCAGGCACTGCGCTCACTGGCCCTGGGTGCAGTGGCCCACCTGCAAGGTTCAGCCACGGCGGAGGAGCTGGCCTTTGTCCGGCGGGAGCTGGATCTGCTGGAGCGGGAGCTGGCGGCGGGGCCAGGGCTGCTGGAGGACGGGGGGCTGACTCTGCTGGAGGACAGCGTGGCTGCCTCCTTCGCCCACCTCTGCCTGGCCGTGCGCTCCGGCGGCAGCCCCCATGCAGCCCGCGAGACCGAGCTCTTCCTGCAAGGCTGCGTCAGTGACAAGTTGGAGCGGCGGCTGCTGGGCCTGTGGCGCCGTGTGCAGGGCTGCACGGTGGTGGCCCTGCAGCGCCCACTCCTGACACAGGTCGTGGAGCAGCATCGTCCACGCCGCCCAGATGCAGCCCGCCTCTGCCGCAAGCTGATGGCTGTCCTGGGGGCCGGGCTGCTGGCCCTGCTCTGTGAAGCCGGCCTGACCCGACGCGACCCAGCCCTTCTGCTGGGCGTCTGGGGAGAGCGCGTGGCCGCCGTCCACTCCCGCACCAAGGAGGCCCTGGCCCTCTGTGCAGGGTACTTCCGCCCGCAGGCCCAGGAGGACCTCGAGCAAGCACTGCTCCTGCACCAGCAGAAGAAGACGGCAACCTCTGACCTGGCCGAACTGGCTGCCGGACTCCTGAGGAAGCTGGAGCAGAACTACGACTGGCTCTCTTGGGCAGTGATGGCCTGGAAGGAGGAGGAGGTGGAGGAGGAAGAGGAAGGTGAGGAAGGCCCCCCCAAGGGGTCAGTGCTGGCCGAGGGCGACTTCGTGGCTGGGCGGGCCCCTGAGGTCGGGCTGCGGGCGGTGGCCTGCTTCCGGGAGAGCCCCTCGGCTCTGGATCGTGCCTGCGTCCACCGCCTGGTCGGGGACCTGGAGTGGAAGCTACCAAACCCACCGCCTGAGGTCTATGCCCGGCTGGAGGCCCGGCCAGCCCTGGCCCGCGGCTACCTGGCCCGGCGCATGCTGCGGAAGCTGGCCGAGGGGCTGGGGCCAGGTGTCACCGTCCTGGTGGTCCCCGGACCCCTGGAGATGAGGAGCAACTTCCCTGTGGCCGCCAGCCTGCGCCACGAGTACCGGCACCGCATGGCGTCTGGCACCGTCTGCCTCTTCGGATGAGGAACCGGCCATCCCGTAAACACAAGAGGAACAAGGGCAAGGCTTTGAGTGTTTACCCAGTGCAGTAAATGTTTGCCTTTTTGCACGAGTCCCCCAGTGGAGATAGGGGGTCATATAAATAAAATTATTATTATTATTATTATTATTATTATTATTATTATTATTATTATTATTATTATTAGAATGATGGGGGTGGGAGGCTCTGAATAAAAGCCATGCTCTGTGTGCAACACAATGGCTGCTTTCGTGCAGGACCTTCTTCTGCTGGGCAGACATTGCCATGGATTCACTGGCCAGGGTCCGAAGAGGTGGCAAAAGGTCATAGGAACATAGAGCATAGAGAGACCACAAGGGCCATGCGGTCCAACCCAAGCCTTCCCCACAGATGGCTTTCCAGACTGTCTGAGAAGGAGGCCCCACTGGACTTCCAGGTAGCAGTAGCAGAAGCAAATTCCACTGCAGAACCCCTGTAGTCATCGGAACGTTCTTCCTAATGTTTAGGTGGAATCCCTTTTCCTGCCATTGGATTCTGTTGCTTGATTGTCTCAATGGGACATCATTGTAAATATTCACCAGTTAAACATGGCAACCCTGTCTCCTCTCAGCTAACCCTAGCTCCCTCAGCTGCCCCTGGGGGGTATTTATGACTTGTGGACCTTTGACCTTTTTGGCTGCCCTTCTCCGGCCACCTTCCCTCTTGTCCAGATCCTATTGGAATCGTGGGACCCAGAACTGGATTCCTAATTGGAATCGTGGGGCTCAGAATCTGTCCTGAGTGTGGAATGGCAGGTTAGCAACACCCTCCCTCCCCAAAACACAGACTGCAGCCCCCCTTTCCCGCCACCCCAGAGATTGAGCCAGCCAGGCCTATATTGAGAAGAGGCAACAGGTTTATTCGTACTCTAGGGATACAGCAGGGGGTGCAGGGCCAAACGGACCCCTGGGTGCTTCTCCTCAGTGCGGAGGGCGCTTTGGGCCCCCATTTGGCCCCGAAGGGCACCGGAGGAAGGCGGGGGCCACCTTCTGGGCAGGGGAGGGGGCCGTGGCAGAGAGGAGCTGGTCCACGTTGGAGTAGTGGTGGAAGTCAGGCCCCCGGAAGAGGTAGATCCCCTCGGAGGAGCAGAGGGCGCTGTCCACCTGGGAGTGGGAGAGGCGATGGGGGGCCTCCGGGGTGCGGGGGCTCTTGTTCAGGTCCACACGGCGGAGCTGGTCTCCTGGGGGGAAAGGAAGGAGGAGGGAAGGAAAGGTGTGTTAAGTCAGAGTGGGAGCTCCAGGGAGAAGCATCCCGGCTCACCTGCCCCACTGCATGCAGCCCCTTTGCCAGGAGTGTCACCCCGCCCCCAGCAGCACCATCAAGGGTGCCCCCTCCCATTCTGTAATCCACGCATTAACTCCCTCCTTCGTTCTTCCTCCCTGCACAGCCACCTTCCTGGATCTCAGGAGAGGGACTGTGGGGGGACCTCCTCCCAACTCCCCTCCCCTCCCTTTTGGGTCTTGTTTATCATCACCATCATCATCACCATCATCCCCTCCTTGCGTACCTTGTATCAGGTAGACATACTGGGAATGGGGGCAGGAGAAGGCAGCGTCGGCCCCAGAGACCCCCAGCTCTTCCTGGATGGGCTTAGGGTAGCCCTCCACGCGACGGTAACCTTGGTCAGCCAGGTAGATGGTCACCTGCGAGCCCTGCCGGGTGCACAAGGCAAGAGGGGCTGGGGTCAGGGGTCATTTGGTTGAAAAGACAGGGGCAGCCCGTTCTCCTCTGCACCTGGTCCCCCCCAAACCCAGGTATGTTTGTGCCCCACTATTTGGGGGGGGGGGGGGCTTTGGAGGCCTGGCCCTGCAAAGAATTCTGTTCTGGAGGGAAGAGACCCCACTCCTGAGGGAAACATGGGGCAGGAGATTCCTCCTCCCAAAGACCCCCTCCCACAAGCTCTCCCCCCAAAACACACCTGGATCAGGTGGAGCTTGTTGTCCCAGCTGAAAGCGGCATCCACCTCTCCCTGCAGGTCCTTCCAGGTGTGGCTCAGGGGCCAGGCATGCAATCCGTCCCGGGAAGATTTTTTGTCCACCTGGAAGTAGTGCCCCTCTGGGTGCGGGAGGGAGGGGGGTGAGGCTCCTTCGAGGGTCTCAAGGGGGGGGCATTGACATCTTGCCACTCCGAACACACTTCCCATCAGACTGACCGCCCGCCCCTTGGCCACCCAAAACAGCAGCTGGGGCCCTGGACACACCACAGGTGGGGGTCCCATCACCCCTTCTTCAGAGCAAGGGGGCCTCCAACCCCAATGGACGCCCGTTCACCGTCTCTCACCACGGAAGGCGTAGATCCGTCCAGCATCGTCTGAGGAGAAGGCCCGGAAGGGGAGCCCGCTGCAAAGGTCAAGCACGGCCTGGAGGGTGGCGTTCTTCCGAGCCTCGTGCCCATGGCCTGCCGGGGACAGAGGGATTTCAAATGGAGGACACCCCCATTCCAGACCCACAAACAGATGCTCCTAGTGATCCCCCCTCTTGAGGTCAAGGTAGTCCCAGCAGATGCCTGCAGACTGTCCCTTGCGCTCCCCCCAAAACATGGTCTTGTCCTTCATTTATCAGGAGAGGGGCTCTACCTCTCAGGTGAAGGGCTGGGGAGGCCACCAGGTCATGACCCCACCCTCCACCACATTCCCTTCCACATTGGATGAGGTTCCTGCAAGTTCCTGGTTCTCCTCTGAAGCCCTTGACGGAAGAACTATCAACACTTGTAGAGAGAGCCATTCAGGACAGAGAGAAGCCCGTCTTGTTTTTGTTAGGGAAAACTACCCTAAATGAAAGCAGAGCATCCAAAAAACAAACAGGATACTAAAAGCCGAGAATTCAGCTCACAGCCAGCAAAGCGTGAAGTGCCATGTGGCGTGTCTGTAAATAATTCAGAACTTAGGAGGCGGGAAAACTACCTTAAATGAAAGCAGACCATCCAAAAAACAAACAGGATACTAAAAGCTGAGAATTCAGCTCACAGCTAGCAAAGCGTGAAGTGCCATGTGGTGTGTCTGTAAATAAACAATTCAGAGCTTAGGAGGCAAACATGCAGCATCCAATCTTAAAAAATCTTCTTTTTGTTAGGGAAAAGTACTCTAAATTAAGGTAGAGCATCCAAAAAACAAACAGGATACAAAAAGCTGAGAATTCAGCTCACAGCTAACAAAGCGTGAAGTGCCATGAGGTGTGTCTGTAAATAATTCAGAGCTTAGGAGGCAGGAAAACTACCCTAAATGAAAGCAGAGCATCCAAAAAACAAACAGGATACTAAAAGCTGAGAATTCAGCTCACAGCTAGCAAAGCATGAAGTGCCATGTGGTGTGTCTGTAAATAACTCAGAGCTTAGGAGGCGGGAAAATTACCCTAAATTAAAGCAGAGCATCCAAAAAACAAACAGGATACTAAAAGCTGAGAATTCATCTCACAGCTAGCAAAGTGTGAGATTATAAAAATTATAAAAACTATGTCTTCTTGTTCAAATCTTCAACCGTTCCATCGTCTTAGCCGTTCCTAGTTCGTATTCCAATTTGAGTCTATCTGGTGATAGAATCATAGAATCAAAGAGTTGGAAGAGACCTCATGGGCCATCCAGTCCAACCCCCTGCCAAGAAGCAGGAATGATGCCGAAGTTCCAAACACTTGCTCAAAGAGCCAGGTTTTCACTCTTTTCCGAAAGGTCAGGAGGGAGGGGGCCAATCTAATATCCCTAGGCAGGGAGTTCCACAGCCGAGGGGCCACCACTGAGAAGGCCCTGCCAGTCTTCTGGGGACAAAACAAAGATGGCGCAAGGGACACGCCACGCAATATGCACACACAGAGAGATACTCAAGGAAGGAGGGGAGGGGCTCACCTCTGCCAGGGCAACGCATGAAGTAGTCTCTAGCGTCCCGGGGGTAGTTGGGGGGCACCTCCCCAGTGACCGGGTCGAAGCGCCAAAAGCGGGCACCCTGGAAGCAGTAGTAGCGCCCCAGCCAGCGGGCAGCCGCAGAGCAGTTGGACAGGGCTGGCCACTCCCGCTGCTTTGCCACCTGGGTCTTCAAGTCGTAGGTCACAACGTGAGGGCCTGCGGGGGCGGAAAGGAGCAAAGATGGTGCTGGGTCAGGAGCCGGTCAAGTTCTACTGCGGCCTGGTCGAAGGAAGAGTGCAGTCCAAGGGGGGGTGGAGGGCCAGGTCACTGACTGTCAGGACAGTTTGGTTCCCAGCGGACTTCTGCAGAGTCCAAATGGGAGCAGGTACGGCTCAAGAGAAGGCTGAGGGCAGGGAGCCCAGTCCGGTCACCACCTCCCCACCACCACCACCAAGATGCGGCCCTTGGCCTCACCCTTGAAAAAGAGGAGGGTCCCGTCCCCGCACTCCTTTGGGTGGCACTCCACGGCCGCGTCCAGGTCTGCCGGGACCCCTTTAAACTCGTCCCCAATGGGACGCGGGTAGCCAGCACGAAGCCTGCCCTCGGCATACGCCCAGAGGAGTTCACCCTGCAGGGAAGGAAGGAAGGAAGGACACTGCTAGCAGCTTCCCCCAACCAGGCAGCCCCCAACTCCCAAATAGGTCGGTGGTGATGGTGCTCCCTCCACCGCAACTGCCTCCTCTGACATTCACCTTGAAGAGGAAGACGTTGTCGTGGACGTCAGGGCGGTCCAGGTGGTGGATCCTCAGGGCGGCATCAATGGGGCCTTGGATCTCCGGCCAGGAGGCGTTGAGGGGCTCGGCCGCCCCACTGAACCCCTTCCAGACCAAATCCCCTGCGGAAGGAACAAAGGAGGGAAGGAAGGAAGGAAGGAGGGAAGGAAGGAAGGAAGGAAGGTGAGCCAGGTAAATAAGCACAGGAAGCTGGCCGGACTCAAAGGAATGGTCTACAGCCACACCACTTCCCCGCCGGCTCTGAGGACAAAGCCAATCAAGGAGAAATCTTTGACCACTTGGGAGAAAGGACAAAGACACGATTACCGTATATACTCGAGAATAAGCCAAGTTTTTCAGCCCTTTTTTAGGCTGAAAATGCCCCTCTCGGCTTCTACTTAAGTTAAAGTTATTTATAATTTTACTCTGTTATAATTTGTATTATTATTACATTTATTATTTTACTCTATTTACTTACTTATTACTGTTATTATTCTATTTTCCTCTATTATTATTACATTTATTACTTTACTCTGTTGTTGTTGTTGTTATTATTACATTTATTATTTTACTCTATTATTAATTTTCCATTATCTTACTCCATTATTATTGCATTTATTATTTTACTCTATTTATTTTTTATCATTATTACATTTATTATTTTACTCTATTTATTACATTTATTATTTTATTCTATTTATTATTATTACATTTATTATTTTACTCTATTTATTATTGTTATTACATTTATTATTTTACTCTATTTATGTTATTATTACATTTATTATTTTACTCTATTTATGTTATTATTACATTTATTATTTTGCACTATATTATTATTACATTTATCATTTACTCTTTATTATTGTTATTACAGTTATTATTTTACTCTATTTATGTTATTATTATTACATACATTTATTATTTTGCTCTATATTATTATTACATTTATTATTTTACTGTATTTATTATCATTATTACATTTATTATTTTACTCTGTTATTAGTTATTATTACAATTCTATTTTACTCTATTATTATTACATTTATTACTTTACTGTTATTATTATTACATTTATTATTGTACTCTATTTATTATTGCTTTTATTGCATTGATTATTTTACTCTATTATTAAATTTTCATTATCTTACTCTATTATTATTACATTTATATTTTACTCTATGTATTATTATCATTACCACATTGATTATTTTACTCTGTTATTGCTGTTATTATTACAATTCTATTTTTTCTCTATTATTACATTTATCATTTTAATCTGTTATTATTATTACATTTATTATTTTACTCTATTATTAAATTTCCATTATCTTACTCCATTATTATTACATGTATTATTTTACTGTATTTATTATCATTATTACATTTATTATTTTACTCTGTTATTAGTTATTATTACAATTCTATTTTACTCTATTTATTATTTCAATCTATTATTGTTGTTATTATTACATTTACATTATTTTACTCTTATTATTTTTATTATTGTATTATTTTACTCTATTATTCTTACATTTATTATTTACTCTATTATTATAATTATTATTTTACTATTATATTTATTATTTTACACTATTTATTATTGTTATTTTTACATTTATTATTTGCTATTATTATTATTATTGCTATTATTATTGCTAATATTGCTATTATTATTATTATTTTTGATATTATTATTATTATTATTATTGCTATTATTATTGCTATTATTGTTGTTGTTTGTTAAATTTTCATTATTTTACTCTATTATTATTATTATTATTACATTTATTATTTTACTCTATTATTACATGTTATTATTATTTTCTAATTATTATTGTTTTTTTGTTATTATTAATTATTTTATCTATTATTATTACATTTATTATTCTCTATTATTATTGGAAGGACACACAAGCACATTGACATTGAGGAAGGTCAGCATAATGGTTTCATCAGAGTTGGGCAGTCTTATCTTAAATCACAGTTTTATGTAAATATTCAAAAACATTTAACCTTCGAATGCCTCAATCAATATATTTTATTGGTATCTATTTCTACTTTGAAATTGGCCAGTACCTGCTGCATTTCCCATCCTCAATTTAGACTCGAGTCAATATGTTTTTCCCATTTTTTTGTAGTAAAATTAGGTGCTTTGTATTGTCGAAGGCTTTCATGGCTGGAATCTCTGGGTTGTTGTAGGTTTTTCCGGGCTATATGGCCATGTTCTGGAGGCAATTTTTCTCCTCAAGCAATTTTCTGCCTCCAGAACATGGCCATATAGCCCGGAAAAACCTACAACAACCCATTAGGTGCTTTGGCTTACATTTGGGCCGGTTTATACTCAAGTATATCCGGTATATATTTGGTTGGTGTCCCGACTTACAAACTCAACTTAAAAACAAAACCTACAGAACCTATCTTGTTTGCAACTTTGGGACTGCCGGCGTGGATATTGAAGTCTCCCAGCACCAAAAGCCGTTGAGACTCCAACGCCAGGCTCGAGACCACCCCCGCTAGCTCAGGTAGGGAGACTGTAGTGCAGCGAGGTGGACGGTACACTAACAGAATCCCTATCCTGTCCCGGTCACCCACCCTTAGGTGGACACATTCAAAATTTGTGTATATGAGGACTATCTGCTTTTGGGTATTATGTTCTGATTTCTGAACAAGGGAAAGGGTTCCTGGAATCTCTGCCTGGTGGACATGCCAGCGGAGGAAGGTCCTACCTTGGAAGAAGAGCATGGTCCCGTTTTCATCCAGCGTGATGGCGTCGAAGCCGTCCTCGCCACAGCGGCTTGCAAGCTCTGGCAAGGAAGGGCAGGAGAGGAGTCAGGGTTGCCCGGCCTTCCCTTCTTCAGGCTCTTGAGCCCAGGCATGGGACAACTTTGGCCCTCCCTCCAGGTGTTTTGGACCCTTCCTCCCCAGCCAAGGTCCAGAACCATCAAGATTATTAAGATCGTCTGGAGAGGCCCTGCTCTCGGTCCCACCGGCCTCACAAGCGCGCCTGGTGGGGACGAGGGACAGGGCCTTCTCGGTGGTGGCCCCTCGACTCTGGAACTCTCTCCCACTGGAGATCAGAACCGCCCCGTCTATCCTGACATTTAGGAAACAGGTGAAGACTTGGTTATGGAGACAGGCATTCGACGAGTGAGCCAGATATGGATGGAAGATGATGAACAACGAGTTAGTGTGACAACTGACCATTGTAGTTATTGAATGTAATTGCTGTTTTAATGTTTTAGTGTAAAATGAATTATTATGTTTTTATTAACTGTATGTGATATTATGGTTGGAAACCGGTCTGAGTCCCTCAAGAGAGGTGAGAAGGTCAATATACAAAACTTTTAAATAAATAAATAAATAATAAATAAATAAACACTGGCCCTCCCTTCCGGATACATCAGGCACAAGCAAACTCTGGCCTTCCATCCAACTTCAGCTCCAGCAATGTGGGTATGATGATCCCTTGAGTTCCCACAACGTGGGTATGCTGATGATCCCTCAATTGACTGAAATATCCAGTTCCAAGAGGACAAAGGTGTGGGTCAACTTTGACCCTCTCTCCTTCCAGGTGTTTTGGACTGCAATTCCCACCATTCCTCACTGCCTCGGGCCTTTTCCTTTCCCCCCTCAGCCAGTTAAGTATAAGACTTTCCCAAAGATCTTAGACATAGACATGAACAAGACCCAAGATCCACACGATAACGCAGTGTTGCCTGAGCTGACTCTTAAGGAAACAATCCTTTAATTTAAGGACCGTAAAGCCACAAAGTCCAAAACAACTGAAAGGCCGAAGTTTGCTCATGCCCAACCTACAGCATTAAGCATAAGACTTTCCCAAAGATCTTAGACGTAGACATGAACATGGAACAAGACCCAAGATCCACACGATGACGCAGTGTTGCCTGAGCTGACTCTTAAGGAAACAATCCTTTAATTTAAGGACCGTAAAGCCACAAAGTCCAAAACAACTGAAAGGCCGAAGTTTGCTCATGCCCAACCTACAGCATTAAGCATAAGACTTTCCCAAAGATCTTAGACGTAGACATGAACATGGAACAAGACCCAAGATCCACACGATGACGCAGTGTTGCCTGAGCTGACTCTTAAGGAAACAATCCTTTAATTTAAGGACCGTAAAGCCACAAAGTCCAAAACACCTGAAAGGCCGAAGTTTGCTCATGCCCACCCTACAGTATCAAAGCTTAAGCAGCTGAGGGGGGAAAGGAAAGGGCCTGAGTCTGTGAGGAATAGTGGGAGTTGCAGTCCAAAACACCTGGAGGGAGGGTCAAAGTTGGCCCATGTCTGAGATAGAATATAGTGTATCCTATCCATGGCTGGACGGCTGTCTATTGGGAGGGAGACAAGTACTCACCTGGGTCGCTGGGGCCGGGATGCGAGCCCAGATGATGCCAGCTGCTGCCGCCGCCGCTGCCGCCTCCTGCTGCGGTGCCGTGGGGCTTGTGGTCCCTGAGGAGGAAGTGCTTTGCTTAGCCCTTGGCCTTCTTCCCTGGCCCTGCCAATCCTGGGAGAGAATCCCAAAAAAGCCTCGGAGACCACCTCCCCACCCTCCCTGTCCCAACACAGAACCGGTGGTCTGATGCGGCACAGAAGTCATCCTCTCACGATACCCTGCTCCAGTTAGCAATCTAGCCACCGATCTTTGCACCAATTGCAGCTTCCGAACTATCCTCAAAGGCAACCCCGCGTAGAGAGCGTTGCAGTAGTCCAAACGGGATGACACTAAGGTGTGGACTACACCATGGCCAAATCTGGCGTCTCAAGGTACAGGTGCAGCTGACGCACAAGTTTACACTGTGTGAAGTCGTTCCTGGCCACTACCAAAATCTGGGGTTCTAGGGTTAGCAAAGAGTCCAGGACAGGTACAGGTAAACCCAGACCCCTGTGCTCTTCTCTAAGGCCCTCCTCCCTCTCAACATCCTATCCTTCCTTCCTTCTCTCTTTCCTTCCTCCTTCCCTCTTTCTCCCTCCATCCATTCTTCCTTTCTACGCTTTCATCCTTCCTTCTCTCTTTCCTTTCTTTCCTTCCTTCCTCCTTCCTTCCTTCCTTCCTTCCTTCCTTCCTTCCTTCTATCTTTCCTTCCCCCTTCATCCATTCTCTTCCACCCCTCCATCCTTCCTTCCCTCTTCCCTCCCTCCTTATTTATTTATTTATTTAGCAATTTTGTATCCCGGTCTTCTTCTCCCCTCTATCGGGGGACTCGGGCCGGTTTCCAACAATAAAATCACAAAACAATCATTAAAAACATCATATAACATATTCAATTAAAATGTTATAACAGCAAAATCCAATCACAAAATGTTATAACAGCAAAATGCAATCCTTCTCCTTCCTTCCCTTTTTCTTTCTTTCCTTCCTTCTATCTTTCCTTCCCCCTTCCTCCATTCTCTTCCACCCTTTCATCCTTCCTTCCATCTTTCCTCTCTCTTTCTCCTTCCTTCCCTTTTTCTTTCCTTCCTTCTATTTTTCCTCCCTCCCTCTTTCTCCCTCTCTCCATTTCTCCCTTCCACCCTTCCTTCCCTCTTCTCTCCCTCCTTCTCCTTCCTTCCTTCTATCTTTCCTTCCCCCTCCCTCTTCCTTCCACCTTTTCCTTCTTCCTTCCCTCTTTCTCCTTCCATTCTCTTTCCTTCCTTTCTTCTTCACCCCCTTCTTTCCTTCCTCTCCCTCTTCTCTTCTCCTTCCTCTTCCTCCCTCCTTCTCCTCTTCCTTCCCTTTTCTTCCTTCCTTCTCTACTCTTTCCTTCCCTTCCCCTTTTCCTTCCTTCCTTTTCTCTCTTTCTCCTTCCCTTTTTCTTTTTCTTCTTTTCCTCCTTCTTTCCTTCCTTCCTTCTCTCTCCCTCCTCCTTCTCTCTTTCTCCTTCCTTCCCTTTTGTCTTTCCTTCCTTCTCTCTTCTTCCCTTCTCCATTCCCTTCCTCCCATCCTTCTCCTTTCCTCCTTCTTTCTCCTTTCTTTCCTTTTCTTCTTCCTTCTTCTTTCCTCCCTCTTCTCCCTCTCTCCATTTCCCTTCCACCCTTCCTTCCCTCTTCTCTCCCTCCTTCTCCTTCCTTCCTTCTATCTTTCCTTCCCCCTCCCTCCATTCCCTTCCAACCTTTCGTCCTCCTTTGTGTCTTTCTTTCCTCCCTCCCTTTCCTTCTACCCTTTTGTCCTTCTCTCTTTCCTTCCTCCTTACCTCTCTCTCTCCTCTTTCTCCTTCCATTCTTCCCTTTTGTCCTTCTTTCATTCTTCCTTTCCTTTCCTTTCCTTCCTTCCTTTCCATCACCAGACAGCCAGTCCTCTTAGCAGAGAGTGTTAGCATGCAGCCCCCAGGTTAGGAAGTTTGCCCAGCCCTGGCCCAGGATCAGGATCACTGCAGACCTGTGCCCAGGGGCGGCTCAACCATTACGCAAAGTAAGCACTCGCGGTAGAGTTGATGTTGCCCAGGGGCGCTCTTGGGGGAAAAGAGACCTTGACATATGCGAGTTGTAGTTACTGGGATGTATAGTTCACCTACAATCAAAGAGCATTCTGAACTCCACCAGTGATGGAATTGAACCAAATATGGCACACAGAACTCCCACGACGAACAGAAAATATATATCAGTGATTGGTTGAGGGGGGGGGGGGCAAAAACTGTTTGCTTACCGTTGAAAAATGCAGTTTGGCACCACTTTAACTGCAACAACAAGAACAACAATATTTGTATTGTCGAAGGCTTTCATGGCCGGAATCACTGGGTTGTTGTAGGTTTTCGGGCTATATGCCATGTTCTAGAGGCATTCTCTCCTGACGTTTCGCCTGCATCTATGGCAAGCATCCTCAGAGGTAGTGAGGTCTCACTACCTGGATGCTTGCCATAGATGCAGGCGAAACGTCAGGAGAGAATGCCTCTAGAACATGGCCATATAGCCCGAAAAACCTACAACAACCCAGTGATTCCAGCCATGAAAGCCTTCGACAATACATTGACCAGGAGGACCTCTGTCTTGTCTGGATTTAGCTTCAGCTTGCTGGCCCTCACCCAGTCCCTTACTGGACCAGAATGGGACCCTTGGCATTTGGTGGAAAGGAGAACTAGAGTTGGGTGTTGTCTGCATAAACTTGACACCAAACTCCAAAACTCCCCAAACATATTATTTATTTAGCAATTTTGTATACTGGTCTTCTCCCCTCTATTGGGGGACCCAGGCCAGTTTCCAACAATAAAATCACAAAACAATCATTAAAAAATCATATAACATATTCAATTAAAACATTATAACAGCAAAATGCGATCACATAATAACAATGGTCAGTCGTCATAGTGAATTCGTTGTCCATCACTCATCGTCATCTATCCGATCACAGAAATATTGATTCACTCGTTGAAAGCCAAACCCCATAGCCAGGTTTTCACCCGTTTTCTGAACGACAGAATGGAGGGGGCAGTTCTGATCTCCAGTGGGAGAGAGTTCCAGAGTCGAGGGGCCACCACCGAGAAGGCCCTGTCCCTCGTCCCCACCAGAGCTAAGCGGTGGGACCGAGAGCAGGGCCCCTCCAGACGATCTTAACAACCTAGATGGTTCATAGGGGAGAATCCGTTCGGACAGGTAAACTGGGCCGGAGTCATTTAGGGCTTTATAGCCCAGTGCCTTCCTTCCCGGCTTTCTCAACCAGAAACAGGAGATAGCTGATCAAACAGGCCAAACACGAAGGAGGCAGGCATATCTGAATTGTGATCTTCTGTGGTTTGTGTTGTTCAAGCAGTAACACACCTCTTTAGACTATGATGAAGGACTCTGTGACATACCATCATTGTAACTTCTGACATGATCATCAAGTTTGCAGACGACACCAAATTGGGAGGGAGAGCCAATAGTCCAGAGGACAGGAGCAGGATTCAAAACGATCTTGACAGATTAGAGAGATGGGCCAAAACTAACAAAATGAAGTTCAACAGGGACAAATGCAAGATACTACTTTGGCAGAAAAAACGAAATGCAAAGATACAGAATGGGGGACAATGCCTGGCTCGAGAGCAGTACGTGTGAAAAAGATCTTGGAGTCCTCGTGGACAACAAGTTAAACATGAGCCAACAATGTGATGTGGCGGCAAAAAAAAGCCAATGGGATTTTGGCCTGCATCAATAGGAGCATAGTGTCTAGATCTAGGGAAGTCATGCTCCTCATGCTCTATTCTGCTTTGGTTAGACCACACCTGGAATATTGTGTCCAATTCTGGGCACCACAATTCAAGAGAGATATTGACAAGCTGGAATGTGTCCAGAGGAGGGCGACTAAAATGATCAAGGGTCTGGAGAACAAGCCCTATGAGGAGCGGCTTAAGGAGCTGGGCATGTTTAGCCTGAAGAAGAGAAGGCTGAGAGGAGACACGATGAGGGCCATGTATAAATATGTGAGAGGAAGCCACAGGGAGGAGGAGGGAGCAAGCTTGTTTTCTGCTTCCCTGGAGACTAGGACGCAAGGGAACAATGGCTTCAAACTACAAGAGAGGAGATTCCATCTGAACATGAGGAAGAACATCCTGACTGTGAGAGCCGTTCAGCAGTGGAACTCTCTGCCCCGGAGTGTGGTGGAGGCTCCTTCTTTGGAAGCTTTTAAACAGAGGCTGGATGGCCATCTGTCAGGGGTGATTTGAATGCAATATTCCTGCTTCTTGGCAGAATGGGGATGGACTGGATGGCCCATGAGGTCTCTTCCAACTCTTTGATTCTCTGAATCTATGAATTCATCACAACCTTGATGGTTCATAGGGGAGAATCCGTTCGGACAGGTAAACTGGGCCGGAGTCATTTAGGGCTTTATAGCCCAGTGCCTTCCTTCCCGGCTTTCTCAACCAGAAACAGGAGATAGCTGATCAAACAGGCCAAACACGAAGGAGGCAGGCATATCTGAATTGTGATCTTCTGTGGTTTGCGTTGTTCAAGCAGTAACACACCTCTTTAGACTATGATGAAGGACTCTATGACATACCATCATTGTAACTTCTGACTCAACGGTTTCACGCGACATTAAGCAAAATTCTGTTTCTTGATAAGAGCTTACACTGACCAAAAGGAGCTCGTCAATTTAATGCTTCTGTTGTTGTTCATTCGTTCAGTCGTCTCCGACTCTTCGTGACCTCATGGACCAGCCCACGCCAGAGCTCCCTGTCGGCCGTCACCACCCCCAGCTCCTTCAAGGTCATTCCAGTCACTTCAAGGATGCCATCCATCCATCTTGCCCTTGGTCGGCCCCTCTTCTTTTTGCCTTCCACTTTCCCCAGCATCATTCCCTTCTTGTTGTCTTAATGCTTCTATTGCAACACTTTTGATAAGGTCTTGCTCAGGCGACATGTCGGAAGAGTTTAAACCCCCTTCCTGCCCCCTCTCTCCCTCCCGGCCCAACCTGTGGCAGACTCACGGTGTGGGGAAGGCCAGGGCCCAGGTGAGGCAGCACAGTGTTCGCAGCAGCATTGCCATCGTGCCAGCCGAAGATCAGGGAGATGCAGTGCGGCTCCCGGACTTTATGGAAGGCGCCCGGAGGGTTTCCCAATCCCTTGCACAATCTGCACCCGCCCCTTAACCCTTCGCTCTGCAAAGGCCAGAGGCTGCTCCAGCTGCTGCCCACTTCCCTTTGGCCCAAGGCCCAGCACTTGGGGGGCACAGGACCCCCCTGGGTCGGCAGGTCTGCTTTCTGACCCATAGGTCCCCCAACCCCACACTTCAGGGACTCCCACTGGCCTCACTTCCCAGCAGACAGCACCCAGGAGGGCAAATATTTGAGTGCCAAAGGACACCGGGAACAAATGCACACAGAGTTCCCAAAAAGTATGCGCAAGATGGGGAATTTTCTTTGAGACTGTGAACCACAAGGACAAGTGGTGGCACAAGGAGGACAGGCTTGCGGAAGGCCAACGTCCAGAGCCATGCATCTAGGTAAAGGTAAAGGTTTTCCCCTGATGTTAAGTCCAGTCGTGTTAAGTCGGAGTGAGCTTCCGACCAATTGTGTAGCTTGTTGTCGACCTTTTGCAACCCAACAGACAGTTGCATCTGTCAAGTAGGAAAATTAGGTACCACCTATGTGCGGAGAGGCTAATTTAACTAATTTATGAGGCCATAAAAAATATCCAGCAAAAACACTCCAGCAAAGCATGCGGGGAATGTGGAAGTACAGTATATTCTGGCGTATAAGACTACTTTTTAACCCAAGAAAATCTTCTCAAACGTCAGGGGTCGTCTTATACATGGGTGTAGTCTTATGCATGGGAGTCGTCTTAACTCTATATTTTAACTGGAAAAGTTGGGGGTCGTCTTATACGCCCAGTCGCCTTATATGCCGGAATATACGGTACTTGCGGGGAATGCGGAAGGGGAACTCTCTGCCCCAGACTGGATGTTAAGTCCAGTCGTGTCCGACTCTGGGACTCTGGTGCTCATCTCCATTTCTAAGCCAAAGAGCCAGCATTGTCCGCAGACACCTCCAAGTTCATGTGGCTGGCGTGACAGCATGGAGAGCCATTACCCTCCCGTCGGAGAACCAGGACTGTGGCGCAGCTGGCTGAGTGTCAGCTGCATTAAGATCACTTCTGACCAAAAGGTCATGAGTTCCAAGACAGCCCGGGTCGAAGTGAGCTTCTGACCAATTGTGTAGCTTGTCATCGACCTTTGCAACCCAAAAGACAGTTGCATCTGTCAAGTAGGAAAATTAGGTACCACCTATGTGTGAGGAGGCTTATTTAACTAATTTACGAGGCCATAAAAAAGACTCCAGCAAAGCAGTCCAACAAAGCATGCAGGGAATGCGGAAGTGGAACTCTCTGCCCCGGAGGGAGTGTGGTGGAGGCTCCTTCTTTGGAAGCTTTTAAACAGAGGCTGGATGGCCATCTGTCAGGGGTGATTTGAATGCAATATTCCTGCTTCTTGGCAGAATGGGGTTGGACTGGATGATGGCCCAGGAGGTCTCTTCCAACTCTAGGATTCTAGGATTCTCCTTTATTTTTATTTATTCATTTTTATTTTTATTTATTTAATTTTTATATTTATTTATTTATTTATTATATTTATTTATTTTTAAAGTTTTAACTATTACATCTGGCCCAGCCATAGGTTTTGAAATTCTTGTGTGTTATTGTCCACTTGTGAGTTATACTAATTGCATTGTTTATTTTGGTTACTGTTTGTTGTTTTTATTATTGTTTGTTATTTTATCAATCTGTTTTCGGGCTTGGCTTCATGTAAGCCGCTCCGAGTCCCTTGGGGAGATGGTGGCGGGGTGTAAATAAAGTATTATTATTATTATTTCATCAGTGTTGCAGATGGACAATGGAAGCAACAGCTCCCTTGGCGGCCAGAAAAAAATTAAATAGCCTCTGACTGTTTGTCTATATCTGTTGTGTGTCTTTGCCATTGAATGCTTGCCATATATGTGTACATTGTAATCTGCCCTGAGTCTCCTGCAGGGTGAGAAGGGCGGAATATAAATACTGTCAATAAATAAATAAATAAATAAATACCTATTGATCTACTCACACGTGCATGTTTTCGAACTGCTAGGTTGGCAGGAGCTGGGGCTGACGCTGCTCCCTGGATTCGAACCTGCAACCTTTCAGTCAACAAGCTGAGCAGCTCTGCGGTTTAACCCACTGCACCACCAGGATGAAGCCAACCTTTCCACTAAAACCCATTCTGGCCCACCTGTCACTAAGGGGCCCCTGTGGGCCAGAACGTGGGTCAGACTGGATGAGCTCTGGAGGCTTCTGGGCCGACTAGCAAAAAAAGGCATGTCCCTTCCTTCCATTCCCATAAGAATGGAAGACCTGGGAGGCAGAAGGTGTCGTGGAAGAGGAATGTGCGCACACTGGGAACAATGCACGAACCTCCCATGACTGGGAGTCAGGGCATCTGTGCAAAACACCTTTCCATGCTGCAGACGATGGACGGGCCTGCTTCCTTTGCAGAGGAGAACAGCCCCACAGGCCCCCAATTCCCCTGAAGCCAACAGATGCAAATGAATGAAACCAGACGCCCCCCCAACCTGAAGGACAAGGTCCAGGGGAGACACAAACAAATACTGTTGACTTTGGCAAAGGCAGGCATTGCAGTGGAATCCAACTTGTGGTGTGTCTTCCATTGCATTGCCCTCTTGAACACAGAGGACTCCTGGCAACGTGCAGAGAGCTAGAGGAGTGCCAGTGAGCCATTGCCCTTACATCAGAACTTCCCAGATTGGGAGGGAATGCCTGGAATGTCCCTCAATGGCGAGTTGGCCAAAGCAGGGAGGGGGATGCCGTTGTTTACCTTGCGGAGAGTCAGTGCCTCTGCCACGTGCTCCAAAAAATAAACATCAGAGATGTATTTGTGGGGAATGCTGAGCGATCAACTGGAAAGAAAACATGGAAGATGACTTCAATGTGTGATAACTGCAGTGAAAATCATTGAAGCAGAGAGGTGGAAAGAACAATAATCCCAAAGCCAGAAGAGCGGCTGATGGGGAATTGGCCGAGACTCACAGAGTGATGATGGAAGGAAAGTGCTTATTGTACTTATTGTATTGTACTTTTGAAGGATACTAAGCAAGGGGCCTTGAATGAAATTAACAGCAAAAGAGAAACATACCCTTTCTCTGTAGAAAAAGAGCAACACGGAAGAAAATGTTTTTAAGAAACAAGATGTGACATGTAGAGGTCGGAAGTTGTATTGTAGTTAAGTTCAAAGGTTGTGGTTAAGCGCAGAGTCTGCAGGTACAAGAAGTTACTTTCCATCAAAAGGTCAAGGGAGGGGGCTGGAAAGAGAGTATTTTCAATGACAAAAAAATGTTCTTGTTTACTTGAGGTTATTTATCGGTGGTCAAAAGCCAAGGGGAGGCGGCACTCACTTGAAGGGTAGCATCTGCGTATGCTGCCAGGCTGTCCGTCTTCTTCATGAAGAAACTAAAATAAACCTTGTTTTTTGATCTTTTTGGGGACTGTCTACTTCCTTTTGTTCTCCCGTGATGTGGACCTAAAAAGACCCAATTTAGGGTCTCTAACACTTTCAAAGGTTGTATATAATGTGATGTCATGGCCTCTGGCTGTACAATAAACGATCCATTCAACAGTGTATCTACACACTGAAGAATGAACGCATAGACTGATGACGCTGATCAAGGAGACATCTTGGATCAACGTGAAGAAAGACGGGGACTATGGTTATTACCCTTTCACAGCAATGATGGAGGGCAATGTCAATTGTAGGATTTATGAATCAAAAGAGTATTACAAAAAGAAAGAAGTGTAGTTAGTTATATAGTACTATCTAAAGCATGCATGGGCAAGCTTTAGCCTTCCAGGTATTTTGGACTTCAATTCCCACAATTCCTAACATGCTCAGGCCCTTTCCTTTTCCCTTCAGTCGCTTAAGTGGAAAAGGAAAGGGAAAAGGAAGCGGCCTGAGGTTGTTAGGAATTGTGGGAGTTGAAGTCTAAATCACCTGGAGGGTGAAGGTTTGCCCAGGCCTGATCTAAAGGGATTAGAATAACAAGGAGAAGAAATCAACCATGAGCGTGAGGTTTGCAGAACTGTCTTTGTGTTTGTAGGCGATCTTTGTAGAACTGTCTTTGTGTTTGTAGGTGAGGTTTGTAGAACTGTCTTTGTGTTTGTAGGCAAGGTTTGTAGAACTGTCTTTGTGTTTGTAGGCCAGGTTTGTAGAACTGTCTTTGTGTTTGTAGGCAAGGTTTGTAGAACTGTCTTTGTGTTTGTAGGCGAGCTTTGTAGAACTGTCTTTGTGTTTGTAGGCAATGTTCGTGAACTGTCTTTGTGTTTGTAGGCGAGATTTGCATAACTGTCTTTGTGTTTGTAGGCAAGGTTTGTACAACTGTCTTTGTGTTTGTAGGCCAGGTTTGTAGAACTGTCTTTGTGTTTGTAGGCCAGGTTTGTAGAACTGTCTTTGTGTTTGTAGGCCAGGTTTGTAGAACTGTCTTTGTGTTTGTAGGCAAGGTTTGTAGAACTGTCTTTGTGTTTGTAGGCGAGCTTTGTAGAACTGTCTTTGTGTTTGTAGGCAATGTTCGTGAACTGTCTTTGTGTTTGTAGGCGAGCTTTGTAGAACTGTCTTTGTGTTTTAGGCAATGTTCGTGAACTGTCTTTGTGTTTGTAGGCGAGCTTTGTAGAACTGTCTTTGTGTTTGTAGGCAATGTTCGTGAACTGTCTTTGTGTTTGTAGGCGAGCTTTGTAGAACTGTCTTTGTGTTTGTAGGCAATGTTCGTGAACTGTCTTTGTGTTTGTAGGCGAGCTTTGTAGAACTGTCTTTGTGTTTGTAGGCAATGTTCGTGAACTGTCTTTGTGTTTGTAGGCGAGATTTGCAGAATTGTCTTTGTGTTTGTAGGCCAGGTTTGTAGAACTGTCTTTGTGTTTGTAGGCGAGGTTTGCAGAACTGTCTTTGTGTTTGTAGGCCAGGTTTGTAGAACTGTCTTTGTGTTTGTAGGCGAGCTTTGTAGAACTGTCTTTGTGTTTGTAGGCCAGGTTTGTAGAACTGTGTTTGTGTTTGTAGGC